AACACTGACATCAGCTGGGTTTTCAATGGCAACAATGGCACAAGCTGCCAACAGAAGCTTCTCCCAAGTTCTCTTCAGATTTATGATGTAGATACCATCACTTTTCCTTTTGTAGATGTACTGTTCCATTTGGAAGTCAAGGTTGGTGCCACCTAAGTGGGTTCCTGCTGCAAGGAATTTGAGGACATCTCCTTTATTTGCAGAACATCAAGGGCTCCGGACATTGTTAAAGTTTCCCTTTAAGTTATGATGGGAACGAAAAACAACGCTGTATAGACCCTTCCCTGGGTAGCGTGGAAAAGGAAAGCATCTTTCTTGTAAATGACATTCTTACCCCCTCTCTTCAAAATAAGGAGATATTCAGTCCCAGTGATCTGTATTAAGTACTGCTCAGAAAGAAAAAAAGACTTCTTGGATTTTGTCAGGGTCCTTTGGAATATACTGTTAACTAAAGACTAAGCTAGTAACGATAATATCCAATAACTTCCATAAAAACGTACATATGAAATGAAAGCATAAGAGAGAGGAAAGGGGGCAGCCCCGGTGGCACAGCAGTTTAGCGCCGCCTGCAGCCCAGGGCCTGATCCTGGAGACCCAGGATCGAGTCCCACGTCAGGCTCCTGCATGGAGCCTGCTTCTCCCTCCTCCTGTGTCTCTGCCTCTCTCTCTCTCTCTCTCTCTCTCTCTCTCTCTATCATAAATAAATAAATCTTTAAAAAGAGAGAGAGAGAAAAGGTTACTATGTACAAAACACCATGTATATATAACAAACAAAAAATATGCAAAGCTGCTACAATCCTTTTTTTTTAAGATTTTATTTATTTACTCATGAGAGACATACACACAGAGAGAGAGAGAGAGAGAGAGAGAGAGAGAGAGAGAGAGGCAGGCAGAGACACAGGCAAAGGGAGAAGCAGGCTCCATGCAGGGAACCCGACATGGGACTCGATCCTGGGTCTCTGGCCCTGGACTGAAGGCAGCGCTAAACCGCTGAGCCACCCGGGCTGCCCTACAACCCTTTTTATAACTGGCCACAGGGCTGTTTTAGTAGCCATTAATGATTTTCTAGCTGCTTTATTCCTTGTACAATTATTAGTTGGCATTTTACTATAAGGAAAGCCTTTTTCTTCTCCTCTGTTTACCTATTCACTTATTTATAGTGCTATGGACTCAGGTGTTTTTTCACTCATTGGATTATAATCTATTAGTGTCATGCTTTATTTTGATGCTCTGCATTTGCTAATGGGAGCCCTTATAAAAGGACTCCTTGTCCCTTTGATGTGTTTGCATCATTCTTCGAGTACTTCTTTGCTTTCTAGGACAAGATATTCTAGAATCATCCTGAACTCTCTCAACCCCAGTGGCTGAATTGATCATTTCCCCAAGGGGCCATGGTTCCTTTTGTGGAGAATATTGAGAACTCATATCTGGGGCAGCCCGGGTAGCTCAGCGGTTTAGCGCCACCTTCACCCAGGGAGTGATCCTGGAGACCTGGGATCGAGTCCCACATCAGGCTCCCTGCATGGAGCCTGCTTCTCCCTCTGCCTTGTGTCTCTGCCTCTGTGTTTGTGGGTGTGTCTCTCATGAATAAATAAATAAAATCTTAAAAAAAAAGAGAGAGAACTCAGTATGTGAACTGTAAATGCGCATATCCCTGTTGTGGTATCATTGCTTCTAGGCCCTCTCAGCAGACACAGCTGGAGAACATGTGTGCTTGTATGTGTTTGTGTGTAAGCATACACATGTATATATGCACACATAATACATTTAAACATATGTATACATTTACAACTCATTTATTTTTAAAATTTTATTTATTTATTCATGAGAGACACAGAGAGAGAGGCAGAGACACAGGCAGAGGGGGAAGCAGGCTCCATGCAGGGAGCCTGATGTGGGACTTGATCCCAGGACTCCAGGATCACGTCCTGGGCCAAAGGCAGGTGCTAAACCGCTGAGCCACCCAGGGATCCCCAGAAGGGTGCTTTTTAAAAAGTTTAGAATTACCAAGATCGCTGATCAAGAAAAACAGAATTAACTTAAGAGTCACACAATGTTCTCTCTGCTCCCCCCAGAATAGGACAGATAGCAACCACAAACCCATTGGAACAAACCTCAACTCCACGGGGGAACCATTTGTAAGAGCTGCTTGAACAATTCCTGCAGGACAGAGAGAGAAGGGGTCAAGTGCTGGGTTAGTGTCTGTAGCAAGGCTTATATTGAGCGCTATGCCTATAGCACCTCACTTCATCCTCACAGCAAAACAGAGAGGTGCCTATGATTCTTTCCACTTTATAGATGAGGAAGTAGGAAAGCAGAGAGGTTATTTGCCTAAGGTTGAACAGCTGGAACTCCTTTTCTAGACTCTACTCCCCTAGAAATTAGTAGTCTACTGAGCCCTATTGGCACTTGAGGCAAAAGGAAACGTGCACTCATATACACACCTATCAAAATATTCTCCCATATTGTGAATCAAATGGAAAAAGTTGATGAAAGCCCTACAATAAAAAAAAAAATGGCCATCCATAGAGGCTTGTGTTGCCCAGTCGGTTCACACACTATTTTCAACCCTCAGAAAGCTAATTGGAAGGGAGCATAACGGCAACCTGTGTGGGAACCACGGGCTGATTGGAAATGACCATTCTTGTTGCAAAATGACAGCAGGTCATAAAACAAACCAGAGCTTGTCTTTAAGTGTTGATATTTTGTTCATCATGGATGCTTTACATTAATTTTGATTTTTAAAAATATTATACTAAAATATTTATCTTGATTACTGAGTTTTTTTGTGTCCCCTTAAATACTGCACCCAAGGAGTATTCCTTACTCACCTTACCTTAATCTGATTCTTGGTAAAACCAAATCTTGGCCTGAATTACACCAGGGCTCCATGCCTCAGATTTGACTTTCTCTTCAAAACAGGGCCTTCCCTGCTGGGGAGGTGGATCCCAGATCCTCCAGTCCTGCATGATGGAAGTGCACTATCTTCTCATCAGACATACGGAATCATAAAGCTCTAACAATAGAAATGTTTCCATTGTGTGATAAGCGCATGGTCACATGCCTACAAAAATGTTTGGAGACACCAGATGTTCTCCACCCAGCCTTAGTCACGTCTGACCCAGAAGCCACAAGTTCCCAATTCCCACCCTGGTATGCTCATTTGAGCTCCTGGCATCAGAAGTCCTAGGCTCTCCAAGCACTAATATGCCAAGAGTTTGGCCCTTTCTATTTCTGAGACTGGGGAACAGGGTGTCCCTGGTTCAGAAGCTCAGTCTCCCTATTTAGGACTCCACACACTCCTTTCTTTAGCCAAGCAGCTGGCTGAAAGGTTTTGCAGCAATCAGTGCCTTCTATTGGAGATGAACATTGCTGACTTCTTTATTCATTTGCTATTTCCCTAGGTCTTCAGAAAAAGCAAAGAGAAACTGCTGCTAAAACCCTTTTAACTATAGCAAAGCATTTGCTGATGTTTTTGTAGAGGACAGAAAGAGAAACTGGAGACCTTGGGATGGGGAAGAACAGCTCCCAAACATCCCTTCCACCTTGCAGAAAGGGACCCACAAATCCTTACGTGCTGGCTTTTATTCCTTCTCCCTCGCAACTTTTACAGAGGAGAGATCACACTTAAATGACTATGAAGGTCAACTTTGAAGTGAAAAAGAAATCAGGGAGACCTAGCTCCCTATTCCCAGGTACCTTCCTGACCATTTTTGAACCAGTGTACAAATAACTCTTCATCTTCCAAGGAAGTAAACAAGCATTTATCAAGAACCTATTGGGGTCTCATAGGTGGCTGCAGTTGGTTAAGCATCTGATTATTGATTTAGGCTCAGGTGGTGATATCAGCATAGTGATCCTAGGGTCCTGAGATTGAGTCAAGCCTTGGAGTCTGCACTCAGTGGGGAGTCTGCTTGAGATTCTCTCTCCTCCCCACTCCCAACAACTCCTTCCTCATGCTGTCTCTCAAATAAATAAATAAATCTTAAAAAAAAAAAAAGATCCTATTGGACCCTGCATTCACTCCCACTTCTTCTGATCTATGTTCCAAGCTGTGGCCAAAGTGGCCTTCTAAAAACACAAATTTTTCATGAGGATGAAATGAGCTAATATCTGTAAAGTGCTGACTGGCACATTTAGATATAAAATATCTATTAGACAAGTATATATAATGCTATTCTCCTCAGAGAGTCAAATGGAAATGTTTTCACTGTCCGCCTCTGCCTTCTGCTTTCTCACCACTCTCTCCCTTGGGAGTCTTACTCCAGGTCTCTTTTTTTTTTTAAGATTTTATTTATTTAAAAAAATATTTTATTTATTTATTCATTGGAGACACACACACACACACACACACACACACAGGCAGAGACACAAGGCAGAGGGAGAAGCAGGCTCCATGCAGGGAGCCTGACGTGGGACTTGATTCCCGGACTCCAGGATCAGGCCCTGGGCTGCAGGCACTCGCTAAATCGCTGAGCGATCCAGGGATTCCCCTCTAGGTCTCATTTTAAGTCCTCCTGAGCCAAACTTTCTCCTAGACTTTGCACATGCTATTCTCTCTTTTTTTAAATGTTTTTTTCTTTTTTTTAAGATTTTATTTATTTATTCATGAGAGATACAGAGAGAGAGAGAGAGAGAGAGAGAGAGAGAGAGAGAGAGAGAGAGGCAGAGACATTAGGCTGAGGGAGAAGCAGGCTCCCTGTAGGGAGCCCGATGTGGGACTCGATCCCGGGACTCCAGGATCATGCCCTGGGCCAAAGGCAGGCACTAAACCACTGAGCCACCCAGGGATGCCCTATTCTTTCTTAAGCATTCTTCCCAGACCCGCTCCTCTTCATCTGACCAACTTCAACTTCTTCATAGCTTAAAGTTACTTCTTCTCCCAGGACCTCCTACAGGGGATTGAATTTCCTCCGTTTGATCCTTTTATAGTTATAATGTTTATCACAGTTGTAACCACTACTAAATGTTTTAAGCTTTTTTTAAAAAGATTTATTCATTTATATTTATGATAGACAGAGAGAGAGAAAGAGGCAGAGGAGGGAGCAAGCTCCATGCCGGGGGCCCGACACGGGACCCGATCCCGGGACTCGAGGATCGCGCCCCGGGCCAAAGGCAGGCGCCAAAGCGCCGAGCCACCCAGGGATCCCCCGTTTTAAGCTTTTTAATGTCTGCCTTCCTTACTATAAATTCCCCCAGGGCACGGGCTTACAGACGTCTCCTACTCACTGCAGGTTAAGGAACTTGGACACGGTGGGTCCCTAACGGACCCTTGTCCACTGAATGTATAAAATCTTCGTACGTACTACTGCTCATTTAGCTGACTGACCCAAGGTTGCGCAGCTGATTCAAGATTCGAATCTATGGCGTTCTAGCTTTGGAGCCCACGGTCTCACTATCTCCTCCTTTCCCTCAAAGCTGGAGCCAGAAGGGAGATGAATTTAAGGAACCGCGGCTCTACTTGCAGAGGGCCGCCCGCCGCAAGGAGCGCGGCGCCGCGCGCGCCGCCCAGGGCCCGGGAGAGGGGGCACGCGTCACGTGTACCCTGCAGGGCCCGCGGCCGCACCCCGAGGCTGGAATGCGGCCCCGCCCCGCTCCCGCGCCAGCAAAACCCTGCTCTCCCCGGGTACTGACGTCAATGAAGGGGGCGCCTCGGGCGCCGCGCTAGGGCGGCCGAGGGGGCAGGGAGGGCCCGGGCGGACACGCCCCTCGCCGCTGCTCCGCTGCTGATTGGGCCCGGGGAATCTTCGCACTCGGTTTCGAGGCCGGCGGAGGGCGAGGGGGCGGGGCCCGGGCACGCCCCTCGCCCCTCTGTTGCTGATGATTGGCCCACGGGGTCTCCGCGTTCGATTTTGGGAGGCTCGCCCGGGAGCTCTCGCCGAGGCTCGGCCGAGGATTGGCTCTTCCCCGGCCGGGGAGCGCTTTCTCCCGGGAGTCGCGGCTGTGACCTAGGTGGCCCGCCTCGGGCAGCCAGGTACGTAGCTCAGAGGCCCGGCTCGCGCTGCGGTGGGAGCGGGCGGGCGGGCCGTCAGACCCCGGTGCCGCTGGGACCCGACCCCGTAGTCCACTTAGCGCCCGGCATTGTGCGAAGCGGCCACGTCTGAGCCTCGGGGGCCGACCTGTGCTGGGGATGTCGCCCTGCAGCCTGGGCCAGGAGATCCCCTCCGAAGCTCTCGACCTGTGGGTGAACGCCGCCTGGACCTTGTGAGCGCCTTCGCATCAGGAAGCGCCCGCCCTTGCCAAAAGCCGTGAAAGGGTTGGGGTGGGCGCCTCTTAGCTTGCCCCATCCCTATTTGAGGTCTGTCGGCGCTGCCTTTCCGCGCGGTGAGTAATCGCTCTAACTCCCTGCGGGCCGTGGAGTGCTGAGGGCGCCGAGGCAGGCTTGGGAGACTTGACTTTCGATCCCTGCGCCTTCCGAAGCCCGCAGAAGCAGATAGCAGGCTCCGAGAGGTTTCTGAGCCTCCTGGGTCGTTCCTTCCCCTGAAGACCTCGACAACCATCTGGCAGGAACAAAAATAACAGTGGTTGAGAGGCTGGGCGCTGAGATCATACTACCTGGGTATATCCCAGCCTCACCACCCACCTCCTGTTTGACTTTGGGCAAGTTACTTAACCTTTCTGAGCTCAGTTTTCTCATCTGTAAAATGGGTATAACCTTTTTAGTCATAGTGCTTCCTCATAGGGGTGAGTTAAAAAGATCACCTATTTGGAAGTGATGTTCTGTGTCTGACATGGAGCAAGCTGCCTCACTAGCAGCTGTGATTTAAAGGTCTACAGATGGATCCATTACCCTTTGCCATCTTTTCCCAAGTGAAGGCCCCTTTTGAGGGAGTTTCATGAAAATGACAATGATTCTATACTGCCTGGTTGTTAAATTGCCTTTCCCTTACATCACTCATTCATGATGCAATGTACTGGAATGGATGCTTTCACCGGTACACCAATGTACTGGAATAAGGGAATAACCCTTATTCCTTTAAGGGTTATTTATTCTCACTCATTTGATGATGGGCAAAATGAGGCAGGGGAAACAGGCTTGTCAATGTCACCCAGTTTTCAGTGGCACGGCCAGAATTCAGGGTTCTTGAACTCTTGAAGAGAGTTATTTCTACACCTAGTTTATTTTCCAGTCGTGTCTGAGAATTGGTCTAGGAGTAGGGCCCTTTTGTCCGCTTCCACATTAGATCTGCAGACTGACATGTATGCAGTTCTCTCAGTTACTTCTGGGGGTAGGGTAGGCCTTAAGGGCCTGGGGGCTCACACAGCCTTGTTGACTCTGCCTCCCAGTGGAGGAACCACAGATTCTGGCTGCTGTCCAGCGACAGGGGAGGCAGGCCAGGGCCACAGGTGTTGATCTGGGCCTTGGGCCAGAGCCTTCAGTTCTTTTTCCAAAGGCCCTTTGCCTCCAATTACAGATTATTACCATCACCAGGGTTATCTGAAGGAGGTGAGCTGAGTGTGGAGGCAGTTGCTGGCAGCTCGTGCAAGTGTGTTCTGCCTCTGGTAGTTGGTTACCTGTGCCTCTCTGAGACCATGGTCAGAATAGCTAGCTGTCTAAACTGAGCTTCATAGACTACAAAGGGTGCTCAATTGTGCGCTATATTTATGTATTACAAATTCATTGCATGGTGAGTTACTTTTTAAATATATTTCTTTGTTAGAGCTCTATAATTCATTTATTGCCTATTTCAAAACAAGTTGAACTTTGTCCTTTTCCACATTTGGTATTTACTTTGGGGGTTCATTTTTAAGCTACTTTGTGTCATGCTGAAGTATTTTGCAATGAGTTTTTACTCATTTGTTCACAGACCCATGTTTATATTCTTTCACGTCAGCTCTGGGATGAAAGATCCACTTGTAATCTTTTAATATCTCTATAGTGTCATTTTCCATTTCAAAAAAAGTACCATTGTTCAAGTATACACTGACTTCCATGAATTCAGGTCCTGTCCAAGAAATTAGGGGGGAGGGATCCCTGGGTGGCGCAGCGGTTTGGCGCCTGCCTTTGGCCCAGGGCACGATCCTGGAGACCCGGGATCGAGTCCCACGTCGGGTTCCCGGTGCATGGAGCCTGCTCCTCCTTCTGCCTATGTCTCTGCCTCTCTCTCTAGCTGTGTCTCTATGAATAAATAAATAAAATATTTAAAAAAAAAAAAGAAATTAGGGGGGAAATAACACATTGAATAAGATAAGAGATGTTTCTTCTGGGGAGCCTGGCTGGCTTAGTTGGTAGAGTGAGCCACTCTTGATCTCAGGTTGTAAATTCAAGCTCTACATTGGGTGTAGAGATTACTTAAAAATAAAATCTTAGGGCAGCCCAGGTGGCTCAGCGGTTTAGTGCTGCCTTCAGCCTGGGGTGTGACCCTGGAGACCCAGGATCAAGTCCCACGTCGGGCTCCCTGCTTCTCCCTCAGCCTGTGTCTCTCATGAATAAATAAAATCTTTAGAAATAAAAATAAAAATAATAAAATCTTTAAAAAAGTTTATTCTGATAATAAAAGTGTTCTAATTCATTTTCCCAAAGTTTAATCCTATGTGAAATCTCATATTGATTTTTATTCTCTTACTGCTGGCTGACTCCCAGGGTAGCAGGCAGAGCCAAGAGTGAAGATCCTCAAAATCTAGAGGTGCCAAGGCACCCCACCCCAAAGTGCATGGAGGGTATGTTTGAGGCTGGAGGCTTAGACTCACCCAGATGGTTTGTTGGTGTGTTTGAAACTTGCTGTAACTGGGATGCTGGAGGCTGGAGGTGGGGCCTTGTAGGGCTTTGTAGCACACACTGGTGGCTGTGAATATCTGGGAAGTTGGGCTCCGAGTCATCCCTGAGGCAGCTGCTGCTACTCAATCCTGTTGCCATTCTCTCTGAGGGGAGGGTAAGATTGCCTGAATCTGAGAGAAGCCCAACATGGCCTCTTCTCCCACCACCCAGACCAGCCTACGAGTCTGCCCAGGCTTGGCCACAGCCAGCGTAGGTCACTGGAGTGCTTTAGAGCAGTGAGTTCTCTGTCTTCTCCCAGTCCCTAACCCCAAGTCCCACAGCAGCAAAAACAGTGCCTTATCTCCAGGGAAGGTTGAGGAGAGCAGAAAGGAGGAACTACTGGTTGGGGAATTTCCTGGCACCTAATTAGCCAGACCTGTCCATACACGTTGCATTAAGGCCTCATCAGACGAGCAAATCCAGTCACTGCTTCCATACAGACCTAGCCTCGTCATAGAACCATTGACTACACACGCCCTGAGACCAAAAGCACGAAGCTGTTCCTTCTTCCTGGTGTATGAGGGAAACAGAGGCCCACAGAGATGATGTGAAGTACCAGAGGCCCCTCAGCCAGCGAGTGGCACAAGGGCTCAGAGTCCTCTGACTCAGGAGCTGGTACCGTGTGCACTGGGCTGGGCTGAGCTGCGGTTCCAGATTTGTTTTGTGGGAGCTGGGAATCTTCCTCTGAGTGCTGCAGGTTCAAGACTACAACAGCAGATCACAGACAACAGCTCTGACACTCAAGAAAAGATAAACTCTACAACCCCGCCCCTGCTTTGTGTGTGGGCCCATCATTGTTCCCTTTCCAGTGGCAGGTTTCCCCTTTTTATGAATTAGGTGAGAACAGAGCCCTCTCCCCCACAGAAATGACGGGCTTCAGTTTGCTCCGTGCTGCTTGGCAGTGAAGGCAGCCCCTTACACCAGGTCCTGGCCTTGGCTGAGCCTCTGGCATTGAATCTGTGTCTTGGCTTTCTTTGCTCCTCTCTGAGCTGGGAGGAAGGTAACAGTGTTTGATTCCTAGAACTATTTGGAGGATGAAATATCATGCATATTGTCCTATCACCAGTAAATGACCCAGAGTTAGCTTTTTAACATCAGCCTGAAAGTGTTGCCTGGTGACTATTGTTTTTTGGTCACTTTTTATCATCCAATTCAGGGGATTTGATTACCACACATACCAGGTTTTTAACTGGATTTCATAATAGTGCTTAAGGAGATGTAGATTTAAAAATTCCCATTTCCAGATAAAAAACACAATTTTTGTGGAGTAAATTTATCTGAGTCTTGTGCAGTTTTTTTTTTTTTTTTTTTTAAGATTTTATTTATTGGATCCCTGGGTGGCGCAGCGGTTTAGCGCCTGCCTTTGGCCCAGGTGCGATCCTGGAGACCGGGGATCGAATCCCACGTCAGGCTCTCGGTGCATGGAGCCTGCTTCTCCCTCTGCCTATGTCTCTGCCTCTCTGTGTGTGTGTGACTATCATAAATAAATAAAAAATTTAAAAAAATATATTTTATTTATGAGAGACACAGAGAGAAGCAGAGACAGGCAGAGGGAGAAGCAGGCTCCCTGTAGGGAGCCCTATGTGGGACTAGATCCGAGTCTCCAGGATCACGCCCTGGGCTGAAGGCGGCGCTAAACCGCTGAGCCACCCAGGATGCCTTCTTGTGGAGGTTTTAGTTACTAAATCTTTTGAAGAAAGTGGGGTTCTTATGATAGGAGGCCTAGGCACTGGGACAGGGTGAGTTTGGAAATTACTGGAATAAGGAGGTTGGTTATTGAGGTGAAGAGGAGGGAGGGCCAGTTACATTTGAGGAGTCTGAGTGAGTTGGAGAGATGTCTCAAAGTCTCAGGAAAACAAAGGCAGGTGAGTCTTAAGGGCCGTGAAGCTGGGAATGCTTTATGTGATGTCCATTCTGTTTGAGTTTGTTACAAGGAGCATAGACATTTTGTATTGAAATGTATTTTAATTTTTACTCCCTTTTTAAGCTGGTTTCTGGTTGACAGATATCTCTGTAGCTCCGTGGATGAGGGGAGGTCTGGTGTAGCAGCCAGGCCTTCCTCACACTAGGCCTGGGGCTGAAGGGTGAAAGGAGCACAGGCAAGTCCTCAGCTGGCTTAGGCCAGAACAGAGGAAAAGGGATCCTGTCATACCCCTGATCCAATTACAAAAGTCAAGGAAGCCAATAGGGACAGGGTGTGGGGGCGAGGACAGAGGGGGTGGTGGCATTTGCATTTATTTGGCTCTTATCTGGTACCTGATACCACACTGAATTTACTCAGTCCTTTTTTTTTTTTTTGGATTCACTCAGGCCTTACAGCAATTCTGACAAGTGGTTATGAGCCCTACTTTACAGCTAAGCAGAGGCTCAGAGACGTTGAGTAACTTGCCTAGGGTCACAGCTAAGGTGGCAGGACTGTGATTCAAGCCCAGTTCTGTGTAATGCCAAGGTCTTTGGTCTGCTTTCCAGTCTCATAGCTTTTTCAGGCTGTACTGGAGACAAGGATGGGGTGAGTGACCCTCAAATGTCTTTGTTGTTCAAACTGAACTCTCTAGAACTGAGGAAGATCATTTAATTTTCATTTCCTATGGGGGGAGGGCATTGACATGAGCCTTCCTTTTATTGAACTCTTCTAGATCCCAACATCTGCCCGTGGTTGTATATTCTAACCCTGTAGCCACCTCATTGCCCCTATGTTCCTCTCCATGGCCTTTTGGACTGCAGTTAGATCTGATTGGTCTGTTTCATACTGTGCTTACTGAACCATATGGACTTGGTGTGTCTCCAGGGTCTTGAAAATAGGTAGGATGACCATTCTGTTTTCAGCTGGAAAAGCAGAATAGAACATTGGGCACCGTTCTTAACACTGTCCTAAGTCCCCACTGTGGCCCTGTGAAGTAGGAATTGGTGCAGCTCACACATTCACACAGGAAGCAGGTGAGCCATTCAGGGATGGAGGTGGCCAGAAGTGGGATTCCAACCTACATATTCCAACCCCAAAACCCTTCTTACCTCTGTGCTACAGAGCCTTAGAGAGACCTGGCTTCCATTCTTCAGTTTCATTAGTGAAATGAGGATACAGTATCTACCCATAGGGTTGCTGTTATCACGTTTCAATGAGGTGGTTGTGTGATCACAACTCTCAGAGCCATGCCCAATACATTTAAACGCTCAACACAGTTCCATGGCTGCTGTCAGCACTGTCCTCAGGATGTAGGTATCCAGGGTCAGCCTGGGCTTTACAGCCAGACAGACCTGGGTTCTGCTCCCAGCTCTCTGCTTATGCAAGGCTTTGTGACTGCGAAGGGTCATTTCAACCAAGTTGCACTTCTTCATCTGTATGGTGGGAATAAACCATTCTTACTTCACGGGTTGCTGTGACTCTTCAGTGAGATAGTACATGTATCGTACACATAAGCACTTCATAATAAAGTTTGTCGTTATTCACATTATATCCCCCAGGTACCCTGAAAATTAGAGTGACTAAGACTTAGTGCACATTGACTCCTGGAGAATAGAAACACCAGAAGCCCTTGCATCCGTCAGGCTGCAGGTTTGGGAATGGCCTACTGACTGAGGTCTCTCCATGCTTTCCTTCCCCAGAGCACCCAGGATGGGCACCCCAGCCTCTGTGGTGAGTGAGCCGCCCCTTTGGCAGCAGGCTCCGGCCGAGGCCCGGGGCCGCAAGCAGGCCTCGGCCAACATCTTCCAGGACGCCGAGCTGCTGCAGATCCAGGGCCTGTTTCAGCGCAGTGGGGACCAGCTGGCTGAGGAGCGAGCACAGATCATCTGGGAGTGTGCAGGAGACCACCGCGTGGCAGAAGCCTTGAGGAGGCTGCGTAGGAAGAGGCCCCCCCGGTCGAAACCACTGGCCCACTCACTGCACCACTGCAGCCGGCTCAGGTGGGTTCCTGGAACTGGAAGGCTGAGGGAAGGTGAGCACCAATGATGCCCCTTCCACCATGCTTCTGCCACCTGGCAGGGTGACCTGGAACCACTGACTTGGCCTCACTGTAAAGCACCTGCTGTGGGGGTTGTGAGGTCTACACAGGGCCTGTGACTGCAGTTACTACTAGAGTCATGTTGACCCTGTGAATTTCCATGGGAAGGAAGGCCTGGGCCCTATTGGTATCACTTAATTTTGCAGGGATTCTCAGCCAGGGGAGGGATTTTTGTTTGGGAGAAAAAAATTGCTTCCCTGTTGTAAAATAGGTAACAATCACAATCTTACCTGTGGGATTATGGAGAACATAGTGTAGGAAGGTTTCGTAGAGGCAATGAGGTTTCAAAATTGAGGAGCTTTAAACTTTCACTAGTCATCCCCCTTTGCCTAGGTCACGGACAGCCTGGGAACTGCAAACCCCACAAGGCCAAGCCGAACCACACAGCCTAACCAATCACTGTGGGTTACGATCTGGGTTCTATTCTTCCCACTGCTTTCTTGGGGCCCCCAGTTAGAACATTAGACCTGAACAGGTCTTCCAAGTCATCAGGTCCGGGGGAGTAAATCAGGCCCTTGCTCATATTACCTCCAGTTGACTTGCAATTCCTGTTTAATATACCTTGCTAAGGAGGATATTTGTTCCTCCAGTCTCATATCACGGCTGACTGATGATGATGGCTGCCATGGGTACAGCATGAGGAAGCTGGAGAAATGCTGAGTATCACATACCCTGTTCTAGCCCAGCTCTCTTTACAGAAATGTGAAAGCTTTGCCTGGGCTTTAGCTTTCAGGGGGTAGACCAAACCAGGCTTCTGGTCTTGTTTTACCCTGAACAGTCTGTTTTAATAGTCCGTTGTGACCCAAATCTCTTTAGTTCCCATTCTGTCCTTCCTATTGATGTGGGCCTATTATACACTTGTTCTCCACAGAATCCCCGAGCCCTGCACTCCACTGGCCAACCCACAGAGTGGTAGCACGGAGACAGCTTCTGGTGATCAGTATCTGAACTCCAGGAGGACAAGTGCCAGGATCCGCCGGAACTGGAAGAAGCCAGGCCCTACAAGCTACCTCCATCAAATCAGACACTGATCCAGGGAAGGAGCTGGGAATGGCATTATCTTCCCCAGGAATTACAGGGACTTTTGCCAAAAGGCCCAGGAGGTAAAGAAGGAGGAGAGACTGGAGGCAGATAGCCCCACAGGGGTAAATGAAAGACTACTGCCACTGGCCTGCTCCATTTGGAACAGGACTGGAAATGTCTCCTGAGCTCTAGGTTATGTGGGACCCATTCCTCACCAGAATGAGAAGAAACCGCGCCTCAGCTCTTCCCATCTAACAGTACACCTGGGCTGCATGATATTCCCCTAAGTGTTGGACACTCACACTGAGCATCTCACCACTCCTGCTACCAACCCTCCTGTTCCTGCTGTAACCCACAGTCCAGCAGCCTGCCCACATCCCTGCCCCTGTCAGGCTAGCACAAGGAAACTGTGGTTTAAGTAGCAAAATAAAAACATTTGCATCAATAATTGTGTGAGTCTGTCACAGAAAGGGAGGATCCCCAAATGGACACTCTTAAACAAGGGGATGAAGGATTGTGCTTATTGCAGGGAAAAGGGGGGTGTTCCCAGGAAGGAGAAAATAGGACAGGCCTCCTTTTTCTCTGTGAGTCCCCCAACCTCCTAGGTCCCCTGTGCCAAAGCCTCCTTTTCCAGAGGTTGTCCAATTAGGAGATGGATGTAACTCTATAGGGTGGTCCTGATCCACAGAAGAGGGCTCCTGGACTCTGGCCAGTTCTAGAAGGGAGAGGCTATTCCAGCTGGCCTTGCATAGTGAGCACTGAGCCTGCAGTCATTGTACTGGGATGCCAGCTCTTCAGCTGGTTTCTTTCTCCCCACAGGCCAACCATCAACAGCTAGCCCAATCATTCTTGAGCCTCTGGCATTATCTGAGGTTTCCTAGCCTAAAAATGTTCAGTGAGGATTTTTGGTTACTCTACTGGCTTTACCTCAATAGTATATCATGTGCTCATTAGCATCCAGCTCCACTCCCCTGGAATCCTATCTGCCCTATTACCTACCACTTCAAAACCCTGGATTCAAAACTTCAAGCAGGCTATGATGCACAGACAAAACAGGGCTGCCCTCTTGTGGCCACGAAGAGAAGCTGAGTCCATATTCCTCATCTCAAACCCTTAGGACTAGATGATTTTGCTATTCAGTATTTTTTCAGTTTTTGGGAAGTACTAAGTACAAGTGCTACATAATCCCTAGTAGGGAAATATCTCATAACATAACAGTAATACTTCTGCAACAAATATACACGCTAAGAGAAAAACATGATGGTTACAAATAGTTTCAATTCATATCAATGTAGGTTCAGTCACATTTTGGTGTCAAATGAGTTAATAAAAATATTTTTGGTTTTCAGAGCACTAGGACTTTGGAAATGAGGACCTGTATAATTCAGGAGCCATATCTCCACAACTCCATTGAAACACAGGGTTCTTGGTCCTTAAAATTTCATTCTACCTTGTCTTTCTCTCACCCAAGAACACTAGACGACAAAGGTCAGAATTGGACTTGTTATTCATACATTTGCATTGATTTAAATACATTACATACAAGTTCTATAGTGCGTTGGCAGAACAACACAGGCAGCAGCACTCTCCCAGCCCAGCCTCACCTCCCTGACACGAGAACAGGGCCTTGGGCTAGCAGAGGGCTGGGCTGTCCCATGAGTACCACCCAGAAGCCTGCCCTGGCACTTTGGGCCCCCGGCTCTCCCCGAGTCCACATTCAAGGCAACCTGAGTACAGACTTCAAGGAGAATGGAAACATGCCAGGAAAGGATGCCCCACACTCTTGCCAGGATTGGGACCAGCCCCCTCGTACATTGAACCCAATCTCCTTCTCATCACAGGGCTGGTCTGGATGAGGGCAATGTGCAGATCTACTTGGCTGGAGGAAGCAACCAGCTTCCTCTAAGACTGCTTAGGCTCTCTTGACACCCAGATGAGACGCTTTACCAACAGGTTTATGTAGAGAGGTCTTGGAGAGCTAAACACACCATGGTACCCCCTCTGGCCTTTGGAAGCCTTGCTGTCCCTGCAGTCTGGGGGCAGGCACTGTCACAAACATGGTCCCCAAGACCAGATTCCAGGTCGGTCGAATGAGATTGTCAGGGCTAAGAGCTGTGTCTTTGTCCACCAGGCATGCATATCCAGCTCCCAGAGATTCTTCCTGTCAGCTGGAGGGAATCCCAGCACAAGCTGGCTCCTGGAGCTAGGATGCAAAGGTACCAGCTTGGCCCAGCTGACAAGAGGGCTGTACATCTCCGCTCTGCCTCCTGGGCAGCGGGAGCTGGGCAAGCAGAGGGCACACAGCCATAGTCCTTGCTCCCTTTCTTTGGTTGTTTTTCAAACCTTCGAGATAGTTTCTTTCCAAGGTTGATTGACCAATCGCAGGGTGCCAGAATCTTGAAGTGTCTAGCAGCGTAGAACTGCCGCTTAGCCACAGATGGCACCCTCTTTACTCCCTCTCGAGGCCATTCTTTGCTTTGGTGTAGAAAGGGCTTGGACACCTGGGAAGGGGGACAGCTGAGGGAAGAGACATGGAAACAGGAAGATGCACACTGAGCTGGGCAGGCACTGAGGGACAGTTTGAAGGCCTTTCTCCTCCGGGCGCTGCCTTTCTCAAGAACCCATGGAACAACTGGCCTGGAACAAGAAGTCAGGGAGCAAAGGGAAGTTGCCAACTAGGAAGAGAATACGAGTCTAGTAACCTCCACCAAGCAGCAGCAGTACCATAAAAAGAAGTGCAGGGACCTAATATCCTGTCCTCTTATGAGCTGAGATGCACCTCACTGAGACCCACTCCAGAACCCAGAACTGAACCCCTAAGTCAAAAGCGTTGAGAAAAAAAAAAAAATCTAACAACAGAACAAATTAGAGGACTGGTGGAGTTGTATCACAAGACTCAGGAAGCAAGGCTGGGATAAATTTACCCACAGACCAATTACAGCTCCCAGCATGCCCTTAGGCCAAAAGGGATTGCTTCTGCATGCTGGGGCGGCTGTTTCCTCCCTCTTGCCATTGCCTGTATGATGGGCAACTACAAACCTGGCCTACGGAACCTGCATCCCTACCAGAGCAGAGAGCAGAGCTGATCTCTATGACCATCTGCAGAACCACTGAGAGTTCTGGAGCAAAAGCGTCCCCACTGTGAGACTGGGCTGGGAGGCTTTCAGTCAGCCTATTGCACTGGTGGGAGAAGGGGAAGAAAAACTGGCAAAAACCCAAAGGAAAGGTGCGGCTCTGTCTGTCCCAATTGGTGAGTCCCCCAGTCGCCCTCTGAATCACGCAGCCGCCTTGGTCCACAAGAGTAGGGAACTGTGAGGCACGTGAGTGTCTGGGTCCATGCAAATTTAGGTCTGGATCAGAGCTTTCTGACCTGAGAGGATCTGGGATTCTGCCTGGCTTTTGCTACTAATATTTAAATTCGTATTTGTGTTCATTTTCTGATGCAGAATATAATGAGGAATTGCCACAGAGCAGGGTGTCAGGGAGGGAAGGGGATGTCCCAGCCTGCCCCCAGGGGACGCTGGGAGATGCTCCTTCCAGGGCCTCTGGACTACTCCCACGGAGGCTCCAGCCCTCCCTAGTACTCAAAAGGGTCCAACAGCACACACTGTCCATCCGATTGTGCTTCTCCCTGTGCTTGGGAAAGCCCTGAGGGGGTGGCAAGCAGAGAAGGACTCTTAAGGGCACTGCTCTCCACCAGCTTCTCTGGCTTCTCCTGCAACCCACTCCCCAGGCTTCCTCCCAGCCCAAGTTTCAAACATGTCTTTGTCTGCCTCTCGGGCTACCACCACGAAAAGAAGGGCTTCCGACTCTGAAAGCTTTGTGTGTAGGACTCGCTAGAAGATCGCTGGTGGGATCGAGCCGTCTCGACAATCACGGGTGGCATCTGGACAAGGTGCAGGGGACTCTTGTTGTCTTTCAGGGCCTGGGTCAGATTTAGAATCTGCAGCAGGAAAAATAAGATCAGTTTGGGAATGACCAAAGCATCCTGGTCTGCCTCTGAAGGAAGACCTGCTGACAGAGTGCTTCCATAAATCAATACAAAAATAAACAATACAGGGATCCCTGGGTGGCGCAGCGGTTTGGCGCCTGCCTTTGGCCCAGGGCGCGATCCTGGAGACCCAGGATCGAATCCCACATCGGGCTCCCGGTGCATGGAGCCTGCTTCTCCCTCTGTCTATGTCTCTGTGCCTTTCCTCTCTCTCTCTCTGTGACTATCATAAATAAATAAAAATTAAAAAAAAAAACAAAAATAAACAATACATTAATGGAAAATTATGCAAATAGGGTATTTCCAAAAGTAGAAAAATAAAGGAGCAAAATACAGAATATGGAGACCACTACCACTCTGGTCATTTAAAAAAAGAAAATTAAAACCAAAACTCTCATTTTTTGCCATTCCCCTTAATAAGGATACAGAAGAAGCAGCAGCAGCCTCAAATCTGGGAAACAGTTCAGAGAGTCAGGCTCTGGGGCCAGACCCTGGGCCAGTTTTTCCAAAACACAAGTGGATGATAAAGGCTTAAAAGTGAACAGGCCCTCTGACTCAGCAATTCTGTTTGTAGGAACTAAAGAAACAATCATGGGTATGCACAAAACACTTAGTTTCAACTAATACAGGGAAGTATTGTTTATAACAGTGAAAATGTATAAATACCCAAGAGTATGGGATCAGTTCATAATCTAAGGAATAAGAAACGGTGATTAAAAGATTTATTTTATTGGCGTGGAAAGTTGATCACGATGTCATTAGAATAGGACAGAGACTGTAGCCAGGATTATAATGTGACTCCACCTTTATTTTCTGAAATTCTTTCTTCCTATCTACCTATCTATAGAGAAAGGTGAAGGAAGTGGCAGTGATTATCTCTGGGTCGAGAAATTATAGGTGTTTTTTTTTTTTAAAGATTTTATTTATTTATTCATGAGAGATACACAGAGAGAGAGGGAGAGACACAGGCAGAGGGAGAAGCAGGCTCCATGCAGGGAGCCTAATGTGGGACTCGATTCTGGGTCTCCAGGATCACGCCCTGAGCCAAAGGCAGGCGCCAAACTGCAAACCCACCCAGGCATCCTTTATAGGTGATTTTTATTTGCTCATCGTTGATCCTTATTTTCTGATTTTCCTACAGTTTGAAGAGTCAAATATTTCACTTGGGTTCTCCCTCTAATGCTCTGTCTTTATCATTGTTTTCTAAACTTATGGAAAAGGTAAAAAAAATAGTACAGAGAATTCCTGTACACCACTCAGTTTCTCCTAATTTTATTTTATTTTATTTTATTTATTTTATTTTAAATAGGTTTAGTTTTTTTATTTTTTAAAGATTTTATTTATTCATGAAAGACACAGAGAGAGAGAGAGAATGGCAGAGACACAGAGGAGAAGCAGGCTCCATGCATGGGACATGGGACTCGATCCCGGGTCTCCAGGATCAGGCCCTGGGCTGA